GCTAGTCATGTGTAAATGACCACCACAGAATCTCATTCATTCATCTTCCAGCCGCAGTAAAAATATCCCCATTCGTATCCCAGCCACACACAGGACATAAAACAGTTTTGAGTTTGTTGAACTGGAGAAGCTTAGCTGCTAATACCCCATCCCTGTCGGTCTCTGCTAAATGTCTGCACCCAAAGGACCACTCATGTTCCATATGCAAGCACGAACGATTTAGCTTTAGGATTGGTTCATTTTGTTTGTTTGATTCTATTTTGAAATATGCATGGGAACGGGTTGACCTCATTCTGGCTGAGAACAGCCTTTGCCGGGCTGTTGGGGTGGGAGGATGGGGGAGCTGGTCACCCAACAGCAGAGTTAAGCCAGATGAAATGAGGTCTGTGGCAATGAAGCCTCCAACAGGAGGGAGAGAGACCTTGTCAGTGAGGAACTAACACTGAGTCCAAACGTGATCCCCTAAGTTGGCAATGGCTGAAGAAGAATGCATCCCTACTAGGGGCAATGTGGAGCAGGAAGACTCGCTTTGGGTCACTGTTTAAGGGGTAAAGGTCATCGTGGTGGGCAAAACACAGTGACAGGAACTCAACTGCATCCACATGCATGCTGCATTCACCATTGGAAGTCACATAGAAGACAGATAGGGTACAGGCTCTAAGACCTGCCCTTAGTGTACAGTCCCACTTTCTTCAGCAAGGTCTCACACGCTAAGGGTACCAAGTGTTCAAACATTTAAACCCATGGGGGGCTTCCCACATTCCAACCACAACAGAGTTGAACAGCTGCCTGTGAGTCCCCTTGGAGAGTGGACCACCATCTCTGGAGCTCTCTCCCACCCTCTGGGTTCCATGCTCCTAAATTTAGTATGTTGGACAGTCTAAAGAACTGTCACACAGGCCGCGTTTGCAGAGCTTGTTCCACTTAGACCGCACTGCCTTCAAAAACAAAATTCTAAAGGTCACTCTCAGAAGCCCAGCATCACCTGTTCCCTGAGTAATGGCTACAGTGATCCTAGCACAGGGTCCTACAAGACAGCTGATACGAGAGAGCTGTTGGATTCTTTCTTCTGTTTATTTCTAGAAGAGACTTTCCATAGACAGCTGCCGGGCCAAGCTCCTGTCCGAGCACCGTGCCAACCTTCTGCAGGCGTTTTTCCACCCAGATCCTGGCTCTGGATTCAGGGCTGTCTCCAGGAGGTCTAGTGGGGCCGAAGCCAGCCCTGGGCTGCTTCTGGACTGAGGTCACTCAGCGACTCTCAACTCAGCATGGGGAATGCACTTGTCCTGCCGTGGTCACACGGGAGGCTGACATTCCAGCTCGGCTCTTTGGATTTGTGCAGGATCAGGGAAGTGACTTAAAGTCCCTCAGCCTTGGGTCCTCCACGTGATGGATTTTGTGAGTGAGTGGCAGCTTTCTGAGCTCATAAAGACCAAATGAGACCTCAGGTGAGAACAGCTGTCACGATGGGAATTCAAATACAACCATCACACGTCAGCAGCATCAGAGATGGCAAATGAGCTCTAAATTTCTCCCGGATGAAACAGAGGGATGAGCAAATTCCTCTCCACATGCAAAGAGTCTGCGAGACATTCTGCAGGACACAACAGATAGTGTCTGAACTGACTTTGAATTTTCCTGCTTTATGGAAATGTCTGCTGGATACTATGGGCCTGAAGGCTGAAGATGGATGCCCCAACCATACAAAAGAACTTTGGGTGACTGTCCAGGCAGCAAGATGTCTCTGTCATTTCTAGAGTTTTCTTATTTCTTGTTTACTTAGGTAGTATTGTATCCTTCTGGAGTCTTTGATGGAGTTGAAGAATGAATAGATAGTTATAGTTTTCCTTAGTTATGATAAAAGATAAGATAGATATAAATATTGTAACTGTAATTCTTGATTGATAACTGTTTTGCTATATGTAATTTTACTATGTTAAAGTTAAAGCCTTTCTTTTTTGTTTAAACAGAAAAAGGGGAAATGATGTGGGAGTGATTTCTTATTAATAAAGAAACTGCCTAGACCCATTTGATAGGCCAACCCTTAGGTAGGCGGAGTAAACAGAACGGAATGCTGGGAGAAAGAAGCTGAGTCAAGGAGTCGCCATGATTCTCCCACTCCAGACAGACGCAGGTTAAGATCTTTCCTGGTAAGCCAGCTCGTGGGCTACACAGATTAATAGAAATGGGTTAGATCAATATGTAAGAGCTAGCCAATAAGAAACTGAAACTAATGGGTCAGGCAGTGTTTAAAAGAATACAGTTTCCGTGTAATTATTTCGGGTAAAGCTAGCCGGGTGGCGGGACACAGCCCGCCGCTCCGTACTTCAACAGAGTGGCGCCCAACATGCTAATGAACTCCACGTAAAACCTGAGAGGGCTTAAAAAGGAGAGAGAGAGAATTTAAGACAGCTTTTTGCTGTTTGTGGGTTGTGTGCCGCAAAGAAATTGTCCTGACTCACCAGCAGGAAAAAACTGGCTGTTTTAAAATGCCGGCTTTCTGGGCTATGCCGCCATTGCGATCTCTGTCTGGCTCCTTTGGGAGACAGAGCTTTTAAATGGAACATTTGGAGTAAAGCTCTACGGCTTGCTGGATGGCAATGTGGATTGCTGTGTGCCTGGAACTGTGTGTGGCTCAGAGGCACCAAATGGCTCTGAGGCAGGAGCGGCTTGACTCAGCTCTGCCATGCTGAACTGTGATGGTCTCAGGCAGGAACTACCGTAATTACCATAAAAACAGCGCATTTAAGGTTTCAACTGGGCAGGACACAGGCGGTACCGTATTACCTGTACATGGTGCAACTTAAGTTTTTAAGAACTGCTTAACATTTTAATAAATGCTCCTGGATAGTAAAAAAAATGTTACAGATTCACAATAAAACAGATTCAGACATAAAAGACCACACTGTTGGATGATTGTACGTAGGCTTGAGAGAGAGAAGAAAAAGAATATAGAGGATAAAGTTAATGGTTTAAAAAAAAAAAAGTAAAGTCTTTAAAGAGACAGAGTACAGATAGTTAAGAGATTAAAAGAAATAAAGAAAAATAAGCCATGTAAAAATGGAAAATTCACAGAGAGTCTGGATTATGTACATTGTGCTTTCTTTAAAATTTTTGACTATAAAGGAGCTAAGTACAGAGAGACATTTCATTACATGGGCTGCCAAGCTAAACCAGAATGGATATAAAGGTATTACGATTTCAAAATTTGGGTCTAAGGATATGATACTTTGGAAAGGGTCTTCTTTTGTTTTCACAGAGGACCAGACCCTGTGGATTTCTTCTATCCCAATTTGGTATGATAGACCACGACCTCCCGAAAAGTTGCTGTGAACATCTTCACAAAATTACTTCACTCAACTGCCAACTGAGATGAACCTGACACACAGGTTACACCCTAAATGACCTGATTAACAGCGCCCCCATTCAGCAGGAAGCAGTTTGGAGAGAAAAAACTGCGCCCATGTTCCCAAAATATTGTTTGTAAATGTTCTTTTACATTTAAAGGGGGAAATGATATAGGTATGAGTAATTTGCATTGGTGTGGATTTTACAGTCAATTTTGTTATATGTATATGTATTTCTGATCTTGATTAAGGTATTGTGATTGTGTAGTTCATTTAAAAATATAATGTATAATTAAGAAATATAGGTTAATGGATAATCATCAGTAATAGTCAAGCTTGTAGTCATGTTAGTTAGATTTTCTAGATATATAGAGATACATTTCAGTTAGATAGACATTCTTCATATCTTTCAAAGACTGCAGAATATGGCATTTAATGTTTTAATAACTTAGGACTTTTCATGACAATGAGACATATCTGCTCCTGGTGGCACCAATCTACTTCGAGAGGAAGATGGGCATCGAAGAGGATCCTTATGGAGTTGGATAGCCATTTGGGCAAGAAACTGCTCTTGCCTGGACTGTTGTATAAAATGGACACAGAGAACCCGCAGAGAGAGGACTGCTGAACTTGCCTAAAGGTGAGACGGTCTTTTGGGGTTCATGACTCATGAAAGAGTCTGCGAGACATTCTGCAGGACACAGCAGATAGTGACTGAACTGTCTTTGAAATTTCCTGCTTCATGGAAATGTCTGCTGGATACTATGGGCCTGAAGGCTGAAGATGGATGCCCCAACCATACAAAAGAACTTTGGGTGACTGTCCAGGCAGCAAGATGTCTCTGTCATTTCTAGAGTTTTCTTATTTCTTGTTTACTTAGGTAGTATTGTATCCTTCTGGAGTCTTTGATGGAGTTGAAGAATGAATAGATAGTTATAGTTTTCCTTAGTTATGATAAAAGATAAGATAGATATAAATATTGTAACTGTAATTCTTGATTGATAACTGTTTTGCTATATGTAATTTTACTATGTTAAAGTTAAAGCCTTTCTTTTTTGTTTAAACAGAAAAAGGGGAAATGATGTGGGAGTGATTTCTTATTAATAAAGAAACTGCCTAGACCCATTTGATAGGCCAACCCTTAGGTAGGCGGAGTAAACAGAACGGAATGCTGGGAGAAAGAAGCTGAGTCAAGGAGTCGCCATGATTCTCCCACTCCAGACAGACGCAGGTTAAGATCTTTCCTGGTAAGCCAGCTCGTGGGCTACACAGATTAATAGAAATGGGTTAGATCAATATGTAAGAGCTAGCCAATAAGAAACTGAAACTAATGGGTCAGGCAGTGTTTAAAAGAATACAGTTTCCGTGTAATTATTTCGGGTAAAGCTAGCCGGGTGGCGGGACACAGCCCGCCGCTCCGTACTTCAACAGAGTCTTAGGACTTAGGATCTTCAAACAGAAGAGGAGGAAGGCCCTGTGCATTTCTCTTTAATGCAATGATTCTCCTTCAAGGCCCCTGTAAGTAGCTTCTCTGACTGTGAGAAATGGCAACAAAATCAGGACTCCTTGCCTCCCATGTGGGTGGCAAGCGTACAGGTTTGCACCTCGGGAAGCAAACCAGAGGTGCAGGGGAACTTCTAAACAAAGACTTACCTCGGTTGAAGTCGCACCGTATCCTGGCACCTGAATACGCTGTTTTGTGGACTCTCGTGAGCTGGCGTTCCCGCTCTGCTCTGGCACTCGGACTGGCTGGGCACCACATGCTCGGTGTCCTACAAGACAAAAGGGCAAATGAGCTTCCTGCAGCAGCACTTCCCTAGGACGCCCTCCGGACTGAGCTCAGCTCAGGGCAAGAGGCAACGACAGGCACCACACTCTCCTGACTTCCAGATGGGAAGGGAGACGACTCAATGGCCAAATTTAATAGATGTCTTTCTCCCAGGCTGTTGATTGTGCAAGATTATAAGAGAAGGGGGTGAGGAATATCAGTTATAAAAAAGCGAAGAAGAAGAAGAAGAAGAAGAAGAAGAAGAAGAAGAAGAAGAAGAAGAAGAAGAAGAAGTAGGGGAGGGGGAGGAGGAAAAAAAGATGAAGAATTTTATCATATTGAAAATAACACTGTAGAGGGCTAGAGAGATGGCTCAACAGTTAAGAACATGTACTATTCTTGCAGAGGACCTGAGCTTGTTTTCAGCACCCACACTGGCAGCTCAGAACCCTCTGTAATTCCAGGCCTTGAAGGAGTCAACACTTCTAGGTTCCATAGGTGACTGCACTCATGTGTGCACATTGGAACAAAGGCATAGACTATTAAAAAGTTAATAAGATGTGCCGTTTAAGGATTCCTGTATTTTTGTGTTGATGAGTGCTTTGCCTACATACTTATACGGCACCTCCTGCACACTGGGTGTTCATAGAGAGGCCAGAAGAGGAGTTGCATGCCCCAGGACTGGAGTTACAGATGCTCGTAAGCCACCATGTGGGTCCTCTGAAAAAGCAACAAGTGCTCTTAACTGCTTAGCCATCTCTCTAAACTCAATCAAACTGTTTTAATTACATTATAGAATACATCATAAAGGTGGCTATAAATTTAGTATAATGATACTTACAATATAGTCATTTTTATGAAGACAATGCATGAATGCTTACAGACATAAACAGATTGGGATGGGTTGAACTAAAAATCTTAATAGTAGTGATCTGTGAGATGTCATTTTTGCTTTGAGATCCATATGGATTTCCCCATTTTTCTATAGCAGATCTGATCCACTGACTGTTTATCACACAGAGGTGATAAAAGGGATGCTGGAGAAAGGGCTCCCTTTATCTCCTCAGATCAAAGACCTCAGAGTCCGAAAGAGCTGGAAGGGGTATATAAGGAGTGTTTGGAGGCTGATGACTAAATGGAGAAGAAGGTGACATCACAGCATGCCATGTTGTTCTGCTGAGAATTCAATGCTGAGAATTCAAACCTCAAGATGTTAGGGAATGGGGGGGGGGATGAAAATATGCTAGTACAAAGAATCTTGAGGATTGACAAGCACAGCAGACGCTGACGTAATAGCAACAGGTTGAACAGAAATGACAGGCAGCTCTTTCCCAGGCCCAAAAGTCAAAATATGCCCATAAACCCTGATTTCCAAAATTTTCTAATATCAGAAACTCAAATGTAACCTCTCTTAAAAAAGAAGACATATGCTGCCTTCTCCAAAGCATATGGCAAGCCTCAAACATCTTGTTTATTAATATATATATTAATGATATATAACATATAATATATAATAAAAACATTAATTATATAATTGAGTCCCTCTTCCCCTTGATTACCTTTGCAAAGAATGACCTGCAATGGGCCAACAGCCCCAGCAGAGCTACTGTGGCAATCCATCGTAGAGCAAAGACATGGGTCCCTACTGTGCTCTGGGTGCATTCTTGACCCATGGAAATCATGAGAGGTAATACTTGATTGATGTTCTTTTAACCCCAGGGCTTGTTACACAATATTAAAAGAGGACAACACCCCACCTTTCCTGTACCATGAAGTACAATCTTTACTTTAAAAGGCAACCTCCTTTTTATTAGATAAAAAGCTATTTGCTAAAGCAGCAACTATCCAGGGGTGGGGGTGGGGGGAATAATGGGATATAAAATGTGCCCATAGATTTCCGGGTCCATTCTAGAGAGCTGTGTGAATGCTGGCACTGAGAGCCGCGGAATGCACCCTAGAAAGAGTGACAGATGAATGACAGAAAGCAGAAGAAATTTTCTTGGTATGACATACCCAGAGAAAGCAACCCCACTCCCCAATTTCCTCTGAAAGAATCAAAACCTTGCCATGACAGATGAACCTCAAACCTTCTAAGTGAGTCTATTGTGTGTGTGTGTAAGATGAACCTCAAGCCTTCTAAGTGAGTCTATTATGTGTGTGTGTGTGTGTATGTATGTGTAGAGATGAACCTCAAACCTAAGTGAGTCTACTTTGTGTGTGCATGTGTGTGTGTGTGAGTGTGCATGTGTGAGGAGATGAACTTCAAACCTTCTAAGTGAGTCTACTCTGTGTGTGTGTGCACACATGTGTGTGGAAATGAACTTCAAACCCCCTCTAAGTGAGTCGACTTTGTGTGTGTGTGTATGTGTGCTTGCGTATGCTCACACACACATGCACACGCATGCACAGATGTGCATGCATGTGCAGTGGTCAGAGAGTGACACTGGGAGTTCCCCTCGGTTGCTCACTTTATTTTTGAGGCGGAGATGTCACTGACCCCAGTGAAATCATTTCAGCTAGGAGGCTAGACAGAGAAAGCCCTCGGCCTCACCCTCTCAGCTCCACCCCTCAGCACCTAAGCTGCAGGCTCACACCCTCATGACTAGCTTTTATCTGGGTGCAAACCTGTTTTCTGAACCTACTGACACCCACTGACTTCCTCAAGTAGGCAAGACTCTCTTTAGCACCGCCATTACCTCATTTAAAATCTGGCCATGGGCTTGAATCTCTCAGTTCTCTACTGTGAGAAAAATAAACAAATGAAAGATGACCTTTTATGCAAAAGGTGAATCCCAAAAGACTTTGAAAAATATGACTGATATTTATGTATTTTTAAGACTATTCCCATGACAGACAGCGGGCATTTCTGTTCATCCACTGATGCGGAAATATTCCAATAACATAAACACAGTTTATAACTTAATAGGCCTCAAATCATTGAAAGTATATAGTTTCTTATTAAGTTTAGGAAAGCTGTATGATTTCAAGTAGTTCGTATTAAGAGAGACAATAATGTCAATTCGATACTTGATTCAAAATACAACAATATCCCTTGGCTGAGCTACCGAGCTTATACCCTAAGCCCGCTCTCCTCAATGCAAACCCAGGGTTCTTCCCACCATTCCTCAGTGATCTTCTTGCCACAGAACTGAGAGGCCATCCCATGCCACCCGTGTGAGCATGGCTGCACTTAAGGACCCAGTGGTCGTCAAGGATGAGATTATTGTAATGTACCTGGTTTCCATAGCTGTTTTCCGTCTCTGCAGCCTGTGAGGGAAGGAAACAGGGACTTTGAAGGGGGGGGGGGTGAAAAAAAGCTAAGGTCTTCTCTTTAATGAGCTTGTGAGGCAAGAATCAGTTCCCTTGGGTCTGTCAACAAAAGCCTATCCCCAGTCTAGGGGCCTCTTCTCAGGAATCTTCACTTTCCCGTGTCTTGCCCTCAGAGGTGTTTGGAATGATGCCATTTCTCACCGTATTACAGACTGGATATGAAATATTCCTCATATGGGCTGGAGAGATGGCTCAGCGGTTAAGAGCACTGGCTGCTCTTCCTGAGGTCCTGAGTTCAATTCCCAGCACCCACATGGTGGCACAACACCATCTCTAACAGGACCTGATTCCCTCTTCTGGTATGCACGTGGACATGCAGAACAGTCATACATAAAATATAAATAAATAAAATTTAAAGAAAGAAATGATTTAAAAAAAAAAAAACCCAAACTAGAAATATCCCTCATAGACGCTTGTGCTGAACACTTGATGTCCAGCAGGTGGCGCTATTCTGGGAGGTGATGGACAATTCAAGAGGTTGAATTTAGGTGGCAGAGATTGGTAATGGGGAACCTTACAGGTGTATATTTCCTGGCCCCTTCCTATTGTATCTTCTGTGCTTGCTGTCTGCCAAGAAATGCAGCCCTGGCTCTATCTCTAGACCCCGCTGCTATGATAGTCCCACTGCCCTGATGGTCTACCCAAGCTCACAGGGCTGAGAGTTCATAGGAGGAGAATGTTAATAAAACCACGAATCAAAGTTTTCCTCCATTGAGGAGTTGTCACTGTCAAATACTAGGGGACTGTCTTATTTAGTGTTCTATTGCTGTGAGGACATACTGTGACCAAGGCCACTTATAAAAAGAAACATTTAACTGGGGGCTTGCATATGGCATCAGAGGCTTAGTCCACGATCACCAAGGCAGAGACTGTGGTGGCAGGCAGGCAGGCAGGCAGGCAGGCAGACACGGCACCGAAGCAGAGAATGATGGAAGGTGATGAGGTTTCTAGGCTTAGCTGCGCTAACTCTTGGGATTTGGGACCTGACCATCTCCTCGGCTGTATGGAAGCCTGAATTTCTAACTATGTTTATTGTTTAAATATTTCATCTGAATTTCAAATGCCTGCAGGGAGTTCGCCATCTAATACCGTCAACAGTGTGGCGAGAACAGGTGAGTGACCCAGAGCATCAACAATACTCAAGCACAGTATGGGCAATACGACTACGGGACCAAGGTTAGCTGAGACATTCTGCAGACATGTGGAGACAATAATAAGGCCAGTCCTGGGGGGAAGCAGTTAAGAGCACCGACTGTTCTTCCTGATGATCTGGGTTCAAGTCTCAGTACCCAATGGTATCTCACACTCCTCTACAGCTCCAAGTTTCAGGGATCTGATACCCTGCTCTGACCTCCACAGGCACCAGACACACAAGTGGTACAAAAACATACATGTGGGCAAAACACTCATATATGTGTGCATATATATTATATATATATAGCCTTTAATTTAAATCTTTTTTAAAATATGAGATCATGTGATTGGCAAGTAGCTATTTCGACACCATACAATGCTCACGCCACCTGCTACATCCCCTGAGTCCACCTAGTTCTCACGCCCTGCTGCATGGGCTCCACCCCAGAACTCTTTGATCTGTCCGTTCTCTAGCCAAGAATGGAGCACGTTACCAAATCCAGGAAGCCCCATGCTCTGATAGGGAGGATGGAAAAGCAAATATCGATCTTTTCTTCTATGCACAGTGTGTGTTGGGAGGAGGGAGGGCTGCTCTTTTTCCCTATGAGAAATTCCCTTAAGCATAAATCCAGAGTTCTTAAGTGTGGTGGCCAAAGTACAAGAGAAATAGTCTCTCTGGAGAGATTCCAAAGTCACCTCTTATGGTAAGGTTCGGGCTCTTCTGGTTAGAACTTAGCAGGGGAATGTTTGCAAGAAATCACTCTAGGGTGCCTTCCTGCTGCTGCGGATAAATGCTACGACCAAAAGCAACTGGGGAGAATGGGGGGTTGATGGAGAAAGGTCATTGGCTAATAAAGGAACTGCCTTGGCCCATTTTATTGGTTAGAAGATAGGTGGGAGGAGTAAACAGAACAGAACACTGGGAGGAAGAGGAAGTGAGCTCAGTCTCCACAGCTCTCCTCTCGGGAGCAGACGCCTCAGAGAGAGAGAGAGATGCCATGCTCCTGGCTCCTGGGCAGACACACACAATGAAGCTCCGACCCAGGATGGATGTGGGCTAGAATCTTCCTGGTAAGACCAGTGCTCACAGATTATTAGAGATGGGTTGATCGGGATGTGAGAATTAGCCTGTAAGTGCTAGAGCTAAAGGGCCAAGCAGTGTTTAAAAGAATACAGTGTCCGTGTAATTATTTCGGGGCATAAGCTAGCCGAGCAGGCAGCCGGGGTGCTGGGGATGCAGCCCCGCCGCCCCTATTACCACAGGGGGTTATTTGGTTTACTCTCCAGGTCACAACCCATCACCAAGGGGATCAGAGCAGAAACTCAAGCAGGAACGAAGGCTGGAGCCATGAAGACTGTTGCCTATTGCCCTTTTCCCTGTGGCCCCTGCTCAGCCTGCTCTGTGCCCCTGGACCACCTGCTCAGAGATGGCACCACCACAGTGAGCTGAGCCCTCCCATACCAAACAACAATCAAGAACACACACACACACACACACACACACACACACACACACACCCTTGAGCACTTTAAATGCCCACAAGCCATTCTGCGGGAGTTAATTCCCTAATTGAGTCTCCCTGAGATAAGGGCTGGCTTTGTCAGGTGGATATCCGAAGCTAAGCAGGAGAAATGGAGCCTACAGCTTCACCGTGCTGCCTCTACAGACTGCTCCAGCCAGCTTTGTGCATAGCTCTCCTCCATGGACCACACACACACAGTCCAGGTGTCACGGGTAACGAGGCCGCTTGGCATGCCATCTGCCATCTCCTCATGCACAGCGTATTCCCTCAACTTTGGAAACCCTCATTTCCCGTCATCTTCTCCACTTAAAACCTCCTACTGCACAACTTGGGTCGACTCTGTGAGCTCGCCCGCATGGCGCCATGTCCATGGCCCTCCATCACTCCATACAGAGCTCTGTCGTTGGAGAAAGAGATCCCAGCTCAATGGCTGAACAAAAAGCACCATTTACTGCTTGCTAAACCAAGCAAAAGCCACAACTTAAGGGACAAGCTTTCCCGGGCAAGGCAGACAGCTTCGTGATCTTACAGAAGGTTGAGAGCCCTTATAATAACCACGTGAGACCTTTTGATATCAGGTAGACTTTAGCTGCAGGGCCCAAGCTGGAGTACTGCTGACTGTGGACTCTGACTTGATGTGTTTGTTACTTCCTGGCTTTACAACCAGGTCCACGAGCATGTGCACTAACTAAGAGAAGGAGGAACCCTGCCCAAACCAAGGATTCCTTGTCACCCCAGCCACAGAACACCCAATGTTTTCCTGAGAGGAAAAGACGTCTTCATTTCCATTCCCACTGTAGTGACAATATACTAGGAGGTGACAGCCGTGGTACTTAGATCATATTCTGACACCTATTGATCTCTTGCCAGGTCCCATGCATTGCAGTAAGTGCTTTAAAAGATTATCTTCTTTAATCCCCAGGAGGACTTACAAGTGGGTGCTGTCATCCCTCGTTTTACAGATAGGTCCCCAGGGGTGTCACTGCAGGGATCCAAATGCAAACAATATCCCACCCCCGTGACAGGAAAGCCACTGCTATGGATATCACTGTCTCCTCCAGGGTGAATTAGAAGCCCGCTCCAGGGACAAGCACCGATCTTATCTCTTTGCATCATGGTAACGACAGGGTTTCCAGGCACCTTGTGAAGAGATTGCCTATGTTGTAGGAGCAGAGAGAGAGAGAGTACCTAGGGATGTTACAGTAGTTCAAACCCTAGCTTTAATGTCAATGGGCTTTGCAGTTTGCCATCCCACCATAGCCCAAGATGATAGTAAATCAATACCCAGAACAATATGTCATCGACATCTGTAATTTTAAGGAAGCCAGACCTTAAAGGTCCCTTGTTCCATCTGGTCACCAAGTACTTCATAGCTTATTCTTCATCCTCGATACAATTTCTTAAACTCCAGCGACCAACTAGCAACCTGTCAGCTTGCCCAGATGGCGGCATAAAACAAGCAGAGTCACCCACAGCACGCGAGAGACAGAGACTCATCTTGCTATGTCCTGTTCCTGTGCCACACTTAAACAGGACCGTCCTGCTCACTACCGGAGAGACGAGTACTCCCATAATGGCTCCGAACTCTCAACAAGAACACTTGCATGCTACAAAGGCTCTTTGAGAGCACTAAATTATCTCTCTCTTCCTGCCCACCTCTCTCTGCAACAAACACATAGAGGCTCACCTGCAATAGATCTCCCTATTAGACCTTGGAACTGGAGAGATGGCTCAGTAGTTAAGAGCACTGGCCACAAGTCCAGAAGACCTGGGTTCGATTCCTAGCACCCACATGGTAGCTTACAACTGCCTCTAAGTCCACTTTCAGGGTATCTGATACCTCTGTGGGCACCAGGCATGCATGAGGCTCACAGACATTCATGCTGGCAAAACATCCATCCCATTCATGAGAAAAATGAGTTAAATTCTTTTAAATTAAATCTAGCCTTCCGGAAATAGAAAGAGATCCCCTTTCTCTTCAGTTCAGTCAGCCCCTATCCCCTCAAGGTTCTAGACACAATGAACATCCTGTGGAGACCATTTGCTGTGGGTATGGATAGCTCTTTGTCATATTTAATGCATCCTCCAGATCAATAATCAGCCCAAGCCAGCTTTTAATACAACCACCAGGATAAAAAGACAACACCGTCTAGGGAACCTTTCAGCCTCTCATTCACTTGTTACGGCCTGGAGCCAATGACTTCCATTTCCTCTGCTGCAGAAAGGGACTCTGGAACCCAATGTACCTCCAGGGGTAGTCATGAGAATTAAATGAGTTAT